AAAGAGTGCAGGAGATTAGACAAAATGTTTTGGTGATTGGAGAGGATGGACAAAATGTATCATTGCCACAACTCATCACCTACCTTGCTCATTTAGAAACCAGAATTGAACAGCAAGGTCTGCAGATTGAAGAGCTCACTGTCGGCCTGCGTACTGTCACCAACCTGGTGAAAGGAAAGAACAAGGTAGAAAAAACTCAAAACGAAGAGAAGCCAAAAAAGTTGATGAGTGATGCAATGACGTCATTAGGAGTCGCCACAGTTAGGAATGAAGAATCTGGGGGACCTTCAGATCCACCAAGTCCACCACCTAACGGATCACCAAAAGGAACGAACGAAAACACGGCACAACCAGAAAAGCCGAAGAAGAAAGAAAAGGTGAAGATGCAATTGCCTTTCACGTTCAGTAATAAGAAGGATGAAAACTTATTACTGTGGATCGCGGAAATACAGACCTACGTCGGGACGACCCCAGTGGAAGAAGAATCACAGGTAGCCTTCTCCACGTCGTGTCTTGGAGGAGAGGCCAAAGAATGGGTCCTGGCCGAAGCCAACGCGGCAGGTTTTGACGACATTGGTAAGTGGGCCGGAACAATGACTCTGAAACAGTTCCTGAACAAAATCAAGGAACTTTTCCTCGACAAAACAACGGTCGACAAGGCCTTCGATCAGCTCACTAATATAGGACAGAGACATTGGACGTCTGTAGAAGCGTTGTCCCGTGAGGTCGACCGATTGTTGCAAGTACCGGGTCTAAATCTGCATGACGATCAGGTCTTGTATATCTATGCCCGGGCCCTACCTGAACCTATACGAGGTCAGTTAGTGGCGGAGTCAAAGTCCGGTAAGTATAAGTACAGGCAGTTTCGCGATCTGGCTCTCCAGAGAGAGCAAATGGCTTCTCAGGTTAAACAATCGTATGCATCTGTGGTGAAATCTGGTGGTCATGGGTTTTTCTCTACAGGAGCACGGGGCAGACCACAAAAGCAGTTCAAAGTACGTTTCAAATTCCAACAACCATCAGAGGATCGATGGTTTAGTAAAAAAGAACTGCTTGAAACCGCACCAGATATTGTCGCTGCCTATGAACGAGGGTTAAGATTATAATTATTTCTGCGGTGGAACTCGAAAGCGGGACGGCAGTAATGTAATAACCCTGTTCAGCAGTCGACCTGGGGCCCAAACCTTAGCCCCAGGCCACGCAGTCTGTGGAAGACTGCGCCGGGCTGTTTAACCAACACATGCCCCGGCCTGAGTAAACTGCGTACGGCTGTGGGACTGAACGCCAAGACTTAGGAAAATCAAAGGTCAAAGTCAACTGTCAGTCAAAGTACCATGCCAGGTCTTGGATCAGATTCGTTCACTTGTTGAGTGCAGGTACCCAGACTACGACCCAGGCCAAAGAAGATACAGTTGCAGATCTATCCAGACCCTCCAGGCAGGGAGACCTGGACGGCTGAGGTTGGATACTACCGGGGATCAGACCCCGAGTCAACACTATAAGAGCATTGGCTCCTTGACTTTGGGGATTCTGGCTGTCTTGCGTTGACGCTGTTTTCAGCGCCTGACTCTCGCAGCCTTGGTTTGACGCTGCGAGACTGGAGGAAGGCCGGCATTTGCTGACATGGTGAGTTACCGCTGGCTGGCTTGCTATCTGGCTGGCGACTGTCTCTGATCTGCTGACRTGGCAGTCGCCACGTATTGCTGCTGACGTGGCGTTGCCACGTGTCGTACTGTCGGATCCTTACGACCGGCTATTGATCATCGGCTTCGTTACTTCAAGGAGGGGTCGTGACTATTYGGGATGAGATCAGGACTTGTGAGGTGTTGTGAATRCGTACCTGATGTCTTCATGACGACGAGGCTCCAGCGCTAATTAATGTATTGATCGGTGCCACGTGGCACYCGGAGGCTGAGTCTCTAATTTGTATTCAGATCATTACTGATGTGGGGTTGCTGTCGTAGGAGGAGCCCGGAGAAGGAGTGGGCCTTATCCCTCTCCCTTGTCTAAWCTCCCCCACCTCTCTTCGTCCGTGTATGATTATCTCACCCCCCACTTTCTTACTGGATACTATTGTCGTTGAAGATCTATCATTGGTTCGATAATCTTGGCTTTCAGTGTCGACATTGTATCCACGACTTGGGTTCATTGCACATGCACGTAAACCAGCCCCCAAAGGTGTGAGATCTGCAAATCAAATGTCATTTGATACATTGTCAGTATGGAATCTTGAGGTCTCAATTTTGACGGCATCTCACAGCTCACTGCAGTTTCCTTTTGCAGGCTTGTGAAGTGGTGTGCTCGGTACATTGATAACTTGAACTCTCGACCTGGAGCAGAAAAGGCAGTTGTTGTGAAGGCGGCTGTCCCTGATGCAGATCTCCATGGTGTGTTCTACTCAGCCTGCCAGGCAAGTAAGCTCCTCCATTCCTGGGTGGACGGTTACACTGGTTGACAGACTCAAGGTGCTGTTACAGCAAGCCCGACAGATGCTAGAAGGCGATGCTCATATCACCCCCTCTAGCAGCCTGGCGCCATTTTTTCCCAAAAAAAAAGAAAAAAAAAGGGTGCTGTTACAGCAAGCCCTATCCTGACGTGGCATATGTCACTCGTTGTGTCTTGATTGGCCAGAGGACCTGTTTCCACGTCGTGCCTGGAAGAGCCTAGAAGGCTCAGGATGCCACGGTTGCATAGTGTGCTGGGCCCTTCAACCAACTGGCGCCCCAAAAACCCCGAAAATGTCAAAATTTAGGCCTCTTGAAGAGATGCAGGCCCGCCTTCACTTAAGGCGGGGGCATTGCTGGCAGCGGGCCCCCATTATGGCCTTGCCAAGGACAGGGATCCTCGCAATTAGATACATAATAACTAAATTAAATTAGAGGGCAATCTGCAGGAAACCAAAACACATTCTAATTTGTCAGTATGATCGTCAGAGACATTGTTCACTGATGTTACGTAAGCTCCTCACCTTTACGGTCTGGTCTTCGGGCACTCTTTGAGGGCATATTCAACATGGCCACTCTTTGTATGTGTATCTGTGTGCAAGTTCGTGAACATGGCAGACTCGGTCAGAAGAAGTCCCAGCGCGGGTATGGCCACCCAAGTGATATTAGGGATCTCATTTGCTGATGTGTGTATTCAGCAACTTTCTCCATCTATCCTGCTCATATACCGTCTCCAGGGGTGCTTTCAGCTTAGTGCCACCTTGGATGCTATCTCCATTTTTCAGGTCAGTCAGATGTGGTGATCCCATATCATCTATTATCCGGGGGAGGATGGTGGCTTGATATTGTAATCCTGCAGTCCCAAGGACACTCCTTCGGTTAAAAACCCTAGGCTCTTAAAACCCCAGGTAGTGTGTGTGTGTGCTTACACTAGCAAATGAAGAATGTGTGAAGCAGAATGATCGTTGCAGATTTTAGTATGTGGTTTGCCTTAGTTTCTTTATAGTTCTGTCTACAGAATGATCGTTGCAGATTTTAGTATGTGGTTTGCCTTAGTTTCTTTATAGTTCTGTATAAGTTCTCTACATGTCCTTGTACGTAATTTACTGGTGTTTCCTCTACTCACCTGTATGTTGATGTTAAGCTCATGCTCTGATCGGAGTCTCGGAGGGGAACTTACCTGCAAAAAGGTGACTTTGAGAGGCAGGAGTGGAATTCAGCAGCAGGAGAAAAGGAACATCGTACCTTTGATGACGTATGTTCCACCTGGTATGATTGTTGCTGATCCCAGTCTGAACTTCATCTGAGCTCTCCGCATTTTTCCTCTCCTATCTGTGTGTGCCTGCAGAAGTCGATATCCTACCATGTTATTTTCTGATGACCGTGTTCCCATACGAGTCATGGTGGAGGGCACGGCTGCAAGGAAGCAAATGTTGAGGGGCAGGACTGAGATTTGGCAGCAGGAGAACGGAAGGTAAAGTCTTGGATGCCCGAGTTCAAGATCCTGGCTGTTCGGGGATGCCCAGCAGCAAAATTTAGTGTATGGTTGATAGGGATTTTCCGACAAGTCTAGACTAGGGGCAACCAGATAGCTTAGAGGCTCAGTGGACCATGTTACCGGACCCTTTCCAGACAGACTTAGGCCAAGACATGTCGCAAACCTAGAAGAACTTACCAAATGGGGTGTAAAGCATCATCTCCCCGCCAGAAGTAGGCTGAGAGGGCGTGCTGCCCCCGCACCCAGCACATAAAGGCACTGGTGGTTGTTGGAGTTCGCCCTTCAAGTAGTGGTATCAATGCTTATACCATCATGCTGCTCCCCTGGCCCGGGAGGCGTCTGGGGTAAGGCGGAGGTGAGTAGAACAAGACAATTACCTCCAGCTATGAAGGTGGAGGTAGTAGTTATGGCAGAAGCTTGCTAACGATGGCACCCCCCGTCTCCTCTTCAGCTATGCTTGTTCTGGAGCATCAGCAACACATTACATTGTGTGAAAAGACTTCAGGAAGGCAGCAGATGTGAAGGGGTCTGCATGCGGATGCTCACCCCGGGGGTATATGGCAGCCTGAATATCTCTCCAGGTTTTATTGATGCTTGCTAGTTCTTAGCCTGAGTTAGTACCACCCGATCCACGTAGTACCATCCACACCACATAATACGACCCAGTCCACAGAGTAGCACCTAGCCAGATGGTCACTTGGTGAGTGGCAGTAGCTGTATGTGGGCCCAAAGAGGGAGAGACGCACGTTATTGGTTGCTGCTGATGGGCCGTGATGGCACTGGTCATCAATGTTGGGATTAGACTTGGAAATGGACGGCAAGATACAATGGGGGTCGTTGTCATGGAGTTTCTTGCTTATAGGTAGATGCTCAGCTTGATTCTTGGGCATTTAGGAGATGTCATGTGTATGGTTATAAATTATAATTATAGCTTCGCGAAAGTGGTACCTCACTGATGGGCGGTTGACAAACTTTATATTAATTTATGGCAGTGGGACGGGAGGTTTCAAGGAGTAGAGCTTGCTGGACACAAGTTTCGATTTCATTCTCATTGCTAATGCTCCATCCTCGGCGCATTGAGTGTCTTCTCTGCCACACAGGTTGATGTGCTCCTGTGTCCAAGCGTTGACTGCATTCTTTCACACCATGAGTCCCACCAAAGTATTGTCATGCAGTGAATGAGCAAATGGAGCTGATTGCATTTACGTGTGCAGTCAGTTGTGATAGCGCTGGTGTTAGTTCAGATGGCTGTCATGAGTCTGGTAAGCTTATTGTGCATCCAGGCAGGCCGTCCTCGTGAATCCAATCCAGCGGGCAAGCTGATGGTGCACAGTTGGTGTGTTCAAGCACACCAACTTCACCATGGGTTTCACGGCCTTCTTTCATCTGTTGGTTTAAGTTGTTTTGGCGAGCATGCAAGCAGCCAACTTCACCGTCGCTTTCATCACTGTTTTGTCATTTCTTGACAGAAATTGGTTCTGGATTGGCAAGTTTGAGCTTTTCCCGATCCATAGTGTTTTTGGCCTGCAACAAATGCACACCTGCCCCTGCGCGAGATGGTTGTCCAATGTAGGGACTTTACGTATCTGGCATGTTTGGTATGGTTCTGCTGCTTCTGCAGGCTTTCATGTACATATTGTGTTTCAAGCTTGAGAAGCTGGTTGAAGACAGCGCAAACATTCAGACCTTGAAGCAGCTTCCTCTTCAGAAGATCTTCGAACACTCACTCAATCCCCTCAAGGTAAAACAAATGTACGCACCGATCGCATTTCATATGTTGAGGGCGTGGTGCTGGTATATAACACGTGTGTGTGTGTGTGTGTGTGTGTGTGTGTGTGTGTGTGTGTGTGTGTGTGTGTGT